GGCTCGCTTTGTTGCTACAGAGCTTCTCAGCGAGGCATGACCTTGGTTTATTAAATAATACATGTATTTCTGAGAGCAACTTATGTAAGAGTAGGCCTATCCAACAAGTCTGATGTTTGACCACTCAGTGTGTGAAAGCAAACACTGAATAAAGAGTGCCCTGCTCAGTACCTGGGTAAGAGGGACAGGCAGCCTCACAGTGGCTGCACTTGTCTCTCAGCCACCATTGCTGCCTTTACTATTTCCTCTCAGGGTGCTGCAGCACAGTCTCCTTGAGGCCTCTTGGATATCTCACCACATGCTCAACACACGGCTGGTGCATCTGCTGGCTTAATGCTGGCCTGGACTTTGCAGGGCAAACAATAAATTTCTGCCCCCAGAGATGGCAACAGCGCTGCCTCTTGTGCTGGTGTGAGCTGTACCCACCAGTAAGGAGCTAATGGGATCTGAAGTTCCTGCTCCTTCCTTCTCCACCTTCTCCTCCTCCCCTTCTCCCCTGGCTGGGGTTTGGGGCTGCACAGGCTGTCAGTGACACAGGGCAGGTGGTGCAGGCTGTCTTGGGGTACCTGCAACTTCTCTGAAACCACTTTCATACCACACGCAGGGCAATACAGTGATCAGTCTCTCTGCTCTCTTTGGAGCAAAGCAAATCTGTTAGCTTTAAATCTCAGAAGTAATTTTCATAACATCATTTCTGCAGCAGCCAGTTTCCATGGAAACCAAGAAACGACTGGCAGCATGCATAGGAAAGAAGACAGCTGACCTGATTGTCCTTCCCTGGCCCCTGTGGATGGGCTTCCCTCAGCCTGCACATGCACATCCTTTGCTCACTGCTGTGAGACGGACAAGCCCAGACTCAAAGGCTTCAGCTCATTCCACTGGCAGCAGCCTGAGTGCACTGTCTCTCCTGGCTGCTGCACATCTTCCTCATCCCACCCCATCCTGCCTCTCAGGGCAGCTTGTCCTGCACCCAGGGGAGGAGGGCAGAGGGAAGAAGAGTCTGTAGATGTTTTCACCCCCCCTTCCTACCTTGTATCATTCCCAGGCCTCAGTAGTGATGGAAGGACTTGTGGTTAGCTTTGAATATGCATGTGTCCCTTTCTTTTTAACCCCCCCAACCCACTTATTTCACATACTTTGTTCACTTATTCCACTGCTGCTACAATACTCCTATAGGTCAACTTTTTGAAGATGTATATTTATAATAAAGCCCTATATGCATTGCATTAAATTTACAAATATTCTTGGACTTCTTCCTAACCACTGCCAGAAATATCTGCTCTCCAGGTGAAGGTCCTGTTCCCTGTGGTGTTCCTTAAGAAGCCCCAAACCTATTGTTACAGTCTTCAAGAACTAGCAGTTTTGTCTGTGTGTTTGGGCAGAGAGAAGGGACTTGTCTGACCCAGGTTCAGCTGCAGCTTTTGGTTTTATTTCTTCAACTGCATTCTCCATAAACCTCCCCACATGATAAGGAAGAAGTATAGATCAGCTCATGACACACAGTCAGGGAAGAGTGTCATGACCAATAGGATTACCTGGTCTGCAGGCAAAAAGCAGATCCTCAGAGACCATTTAGGAAGTTGAACATGTGCAGGGGACAGGCTGAGGGAGAAAAAGTTGATTCTCAGGAGCTGACTGCTCTGGAAGTGCTGTACAAATAGGTCATGCCACAGGGCAGGACCAGGAAGATGTGTAGTCAAGCTCTGAACAGATTCCATTTTATACTTAGTTTAATTCCGCAATATTAGTTTATTATCAATAAATAATGATATGTCTATTTATTTAGTAAAAAACCAGCCAGCTGGGGAGGCGCTAGAGGCTGCCTGCCTGTCTGTCTGAAGGATGCAGTGCAGGTTCCCATGCCATGCTCATCCCTACTCTCCAAAAGCATGGGCTGACCATGGCACCCCTGGGTGCATGTCATGGTGTGGCATTCACTGGGGGAGCTTTGTGCAGGGAGCCACGGGCAGAGACAGAACTCTAGGCCATGGATTCTGTCCTTCCTTTAAACCTCTTAAAATGCACAGAAGCCTCCTGGAAGGGTAAAGCAGCTTAAAGAAAGCAATTGCAGAGATGAGAGCATCCACAAAAGCTGGGCACTCCCTGAGGTGTTTCTCTGCCCTTGAGCCCAGAGTGCTGGAGGGAAGAGCAAGCCTGGACAGCCTCCACAGGGCTTCTACGAAACTTTCCAAGTCTCTCTGACATAAAAAATAATTGACCTTTACAGCTGTATTTGAGCCAGCTACACTGCCATCAGCTCTTGCTAGTCCTCACCACTCAGTTGATGTTTGCTTAATGGCATGTGAATTAATTTGTTGGAAGCTGACACTTCACTGCAGGATTAGTTAGTGACACTAACACTGAGCTGGTGCATGAAATTCAAGATGCAGAGCATCATTTTTTTGTGGTAAAAAAAACCAAACCAAAACAAAATAGGTAAATGCCAATGCTTTTGGAAATCTTCACTTTTAGGATGCTATGACTGAGTAATGAATGAGCTGAAGTACAGAAGAAAAATAAACCAAATTCCAGCTATTTAAAGGCTCAGCAATTCCTTCCAGGCAAAAAAACAAGCAGCTATTGTGTGCTGGCACTGGGAGGGCTGGGGGAAGGCAGTATTTCCCACAGGCAAATTAGGAATGGGAAAACCAGGACAAAACCCACAAGCCTCTGCAGCCTGAGTAGGGAGCACAAGACATTTTCTGTTCAACATGATTTGTGTTGTCATTAGGTGGGTTTAATAGGGCTCTTTACTTATTCTGGGAGGAAAGCCCTGGCTCTGCTTGAGCTAACAGTAATGACCATTCTGACTTGGGAAACATGAGGGAGCATTTGCCACGTCACTCAGGCACTCACTGGGAACAGAGGGTCTCCTCTGCCCCCATCCATTCCTGGTGAGGGAGTTTGGACACGTTTCTCTGGAGCCTGATAAAAACCTGTCTGTGCCCTGTTTGGCCAGGGGTGTCTGATTCACATCACTTGTCTGCCTGTAAAGGAGGACCCATATTGACCATCAGCCTCACTGGGACCAGAGCAGAACCCCACAAAGGGTGCATTTGAAAACCCCAATTCTGTCCCACAGCTGGGGGGACAGAACAGGACTGGCATCATGGATGTGGGAAAGGTTTCCCTCATCCACAATGGCTTGCACCCCTTCCTAACTCTCCTCCCAAGCTGTTGTGAGGAACAGCTCAGAAACACAGCCCCAGCTTCCTAAAGTTCTGCATCTGGGTGCCTTGTTTCAGGCGGTGTAAAGGTGAAATGATATAGAGAGATAAAAACACCTCCCTAAAAAGAAATAATGAGTTAAAGCCCATGAACAACAGGTCCTGCAGGGCACACATGCAGCCCCTCCTTCACCTTCACTTTGATCAGGAGACACTAACAGTGATTTCTCTCCTTTCACACAAACACATGGTCTGGAGCAGCACAGCAGGTAACCAGCAGGTGCAGCAGGCTTGCTGCTTTGAGGATTCCAGGATCAACGACTTTCAAAAGACCAGGAGAACTGCTGACCACCCATATAAAACCTGCAGAAGGAGCGGTGTTCCCTTAGTTCTATGTGTCCCAGGCTGCTGCTCAGAGATGGACAGGGTGGAGAGCCACTCTGGTATGAGCAATGTCCCTCTCTATGGAGACCCAGACAGAGTTTCTAACATGCCCAAAACAAGCTAAAACTATGCCAATAAAGGATCATGCATTTGTTTATGCCTGGATCCTGGTTTAGTTCACTATATGCTAATTTTAATGGACCAGATCATGTGAAAAATACAAGATCCCTACTCTAGCCCAGCAGGAATGGGAGCTGCCAGTGGAGCACAGCTTTTTTTCCAAAGAACTGCCACAGCTTCCCTGACAAGTTGTTATATTGATAAGTTTGAAGTTTTTTTATTATCTGATTTAGATTGAACCACAGGATTTCAGAGAAAGTCAGGAACTGTCCAATAACCATTTCCACTGCACTGTATGAAGCACTGAGAAAGAATGTATTTATTCTGGGGGATGTGACAGGACTAAGCTGCTATAGCCATAAAACACCTCTGCCTCTTGCAAAGCTGTTCCCATGACAAATCTGTCATGTACTTCTGCATGGTCGAATAAACTTTTAGAAACTAAAATTTCATTTGGAACATTTATCTTTTCTTCAAGACCAGCTCCACTGAATGCAGCCACTCATCCACTAGCAAACAATGCAGTCAGTGCTTTTGTGTATTGATCACCTTCCTAGAAGCTGATAGGGCCATTGGATACCAGAAGTGAGTTTATTTCACCCACTAGCAAACAATGCAGTCTGCTTTTGTGTATTGATCACCTTCCTAGAAGCTGATAGGGCCATTGGATGCCAGAAGTGAGTTTATCTGGAATTCACATTTGTTTTAACTGATCAACTATTGTCAAGTTTCCTTTTAGTAGGCTGCAAATTGCTCAAACTCTCTTGCAGGCTTACTGGCGATTAGGGAAACACAGAAAAGGGAACACGTGTGTCTGGACAGCCTCTCCAACAGATCAAGCCCTAGCAAATGTTCATTAGCACTGCACATACTGCACACGGACACATCCTGCTCAGCATGCACAACATGGCAAAACACATCCCCTTCCAGCTGTGGGGAGGGATGGGAAGGGACAACACCAGCTTGGACAGCACCCCCATCCATCAAGTGCCCTCAACTTGCAGGGAAGTCTCTCTGCTGTTAAAACACATGGACTCATCTGTCCTTTGAAAATTCCAGTGCCAACACCTTTCAGTGCTGGCAAAGCACACCCTCAAGGGCTGCTGCCAGCTCTGTGCCAGAGCTTGGCATGTTTGGGGAAGATGCCTCACACAAACCAAACCGCAGCACCTGATGCCCATGTCAGCCTAACAGCTTAAAGCTTAACTCCAGGAAACCCTTGGGTAGTCTCACTGTCCTTCAAAACCACTGCTCAAAACCAAAGATCAGCTTGGGTGGCACTGCCAAAACAAGATGTAGGTACAAGGGGAGTAACACACAGAGCCAACTTTTTTTTTATAAAAGTATTTTTAATAAACTGATGGATTTAAGTTTAAGATGCTAGACAACTTGTTGCCATGTACAGGTAACAAAAGTCAAAATTCTTTGAATTTTATACAAATACTATGTAGTAAACTTGAATACAAGTTTACAAAAAATGCATCAGTGAATATTCAGCTTGTAACCAACTTCCAACAGTGAAAATTATCATCTATCAATAGTGATCAGAATTGCATTGCAAATTTTAGAAGTAATGCAACTATGTTTTTTTTTTACCAAGCCACTCCGAAGTTACTGGTGCACACTGACAGTACATTGGATTTTTTTGGCTTGCTGAACAGAAAATGGCATTTAAATAAAATGACTGAGTTAAACAATGTAATACATATCAAAAGTACTATCTCACAGAAAATTAAACAAGAATGAGAAAGTAAACAGAGCAGAACCCTGAAGTGGTGATATTTTTCTACCCGTTTTGATGGAAAAGATTCCACAGGTGTCCAGCTTTCTCACAGCATTCTGAAGTGTTCTAGTCCTAGCACAGTGTGGTCATTAGTAGACTAAAGTAATCCCTGCTTGGCAGTAATGCTGGTGAAAGGTAACTTGCTCTATTGCTAACAAATTGGAGTAACCACTGGCAGGGTGACTTGCAGGCATCCAGCAGAGGCTGAGCTGACAGCACACGATGGAAGTTACAGTACTGCTCGCTTTGATTCAATACCCAACAACCTTCAGGGTTCAGGTGTCAGTTTCCTCACAGGATTTACCAATGGGTGGTTTCAAAACAAACAGAAAAAAGTTATTATGGAGCATAAGACAGTATTTTCACCTGTACAGCTAACAATAAAATGAATGGTTTTGTTACAAACTTTCCAGTCTGCTTTATAAAAAATAGTCTTAGTTTTACTTCTAAATAAAAACTGTGCTGTGATCTGTCATGTTCTTGCATTGTACATGCTGTAATTGTGTGTGTTAATGAAGGTGTAGAGATTTGTGACCTAGCGCTCTGGATGTATCAGAAGCCTAAAAAGCTGATTTTGGTACATAAAAGGTAGCAATGAAAAATTATTCTATTTATTTTTCCTAAAGCCTAGGAAAAGCTACAGTACGTTGCTAGATCAGTGGCCTCAACCCTGAGCTGAAATAAAGGACCTGCCCTGGCCAAGAGACTTAGTCACATTACTACCACAGCTGCACAGCAGAGACAAAGGAACCTGTCTGCAGCCTGCTGTCTGAGCTGGGAGTAGTGTGAGATTCAGTCCTGTGATGCTTGAGAGTTGACTGGAGACCACCATAATCATTTTCACTACAGGGAAAAGAAGGAAAGGAGAACTCAAATTCGGAGTGGAAAGCACTCAACAGGGAGGGTCAGTATATCCAGCTTCTGGAGATCAAACAGAGGATGAAGTTAGTGGCAGACTCACCAGTTTTAAGCATTTCCCACTTGATAGAAGAGATTATTAAAACACGTACCAAAATACAGTTATGGAGATGTTTACTATTATCTCACTCTTTCCAGAAAGAGTCTCACTTGATTTTCCCCCCTAGATCTGAGCATATCTCTCTCTGTACTACACTGCATCATAGAACATAAGTGAAAACCTAAAGTCTGTCTGATGAAGGATTCAACCCAGGTGGCAGCAGAAAAAAAACTTCCACTTGTTTCTAATACAAGTTGGAGCTGGCAACCATAAGAATTCTTACTATGATACAGCTACTGCACCTTCCCATAGGATTCAATGGCACCACTACCCATGGCCAGGAGCATTCATAACATGAAGCATTTTGCCTTCCAAGAGGACTTTTTTTTTTGCTTTTAAACAGCAGAAACTGCAGAGTCAGTATTTCATTCAACAGAAAAACTAAACCCAGCAAAAGACTGTAAATAAAGCTCGTAAGAATCATCCATATTTCTAGTAATGCACACTTCTTTGTGAGCTGATCCCTTCAGGGATGGGATGTTTTTTGTTAGTTTAAGGCAGCAAGTCTTACAAAATACTCAAGCTCACCTCCCTCATGTTTGTGCTACTGTAGCCTTATGTGCACAATAGAACCTCACTAATTTACACTAATGATTGGAAGAACAATTCATTCTCTTGGTAAGTGAACAAGAATAAGGCATTCCATTATATATTCTGATCACTAATTATAATTTAGCTCTAATTATAATCTACCAGCAGACATACTTCTGTGTTTTAGAAAATAGTATCTCTTACCTTCAGATATAATTATGTGTGCAGATTAGTGGGTTCTGCTGTGTAAACACGCAGGTGCATAAGCAATTTTCAGGTTTTTCTTCATTACATCTGATAAGAAAGTTAATGCCACAGATAGAGACTGTGGGAAAATAAATTAGGATTTCTCTATCAATTGTGCAGATATGCACAACTGGGCAGTAATTTATAGCTCAAAAAAGGAAGGACACAAATGTTTACAAACTCAAATGAAGCAAAATCAGCAGCAGGAAGCAAAGGCCATTCCCCAACCATAAATGGCTTGTTTTACATGATTCCAAACTATACGAAAACAAACAAATAAAAAAGGAATACAAGTACTAACTTATATATACAAGTTTGAAATCAAGTAAAGCAAAGAAGTGAAAGATTTGTTGATGCTTCTAGCAGATGATATTCACATGTTTAAATCCTGAAATAAACTGCAAGTAAAGACACAAGACAGGATGAAAACTAAATGTCTGAATTGAAAAAAAAATTGATTGATGTACACTGCAATGAGATAGAAATTTCCCTTCATATGTGCAAAAATCCACAGTTTCATTAATGTAGAGGTCATACTTCTAGGAACAGATTTTAGACCAAACCAGTCTCCCTACATCCTGGAATCTACCTGTTTACATCAGCCACTTTAAGTGCACAGTACCCTGTTCACATGTAGTATTCAGCAGTTTCTGGCATTCCTCAATTTAGTGTTCTCCTGCCTTAAATCTTGAAAACAAAGGGGAAAGTTCATCCAGGGCATCATACCACTGCTCTTGATTTATACCATCATTTAAATCAAACTCAAATTCTTTCTTCTTCCATGGTAGCAGGAGTCCTTATAGGACATGTAAACAGCAGTACACAATACTGTAAACAAATAATTTAAGTTCAGCTTTATGCAAGATGTTAAGTTAACTCAGGTCTACCAAACAGGTGAAAATGAAAAGGGTGGCTTCACACAAAATCCTTCCCTTTTCTCCCAGCAATTCTTTTCACTATGTAAATAATCCTGAGCTGAAACAGGGGTTGATGAGAGCTTTGTTTTTTGCATATAAAAACAATGTTCTAGAGCTGGCTCTCACGTTCTGTCAGGAAGTCAATTGCTGAAGAGATCAAACTGAAGTATTTCAAAAGTATTTCTGAAGTATTTGCTACTTTGGAGGAGGACTTATAATTTGGTGTGGCGTCCAGTTCTAGACCCAGATGCTGAGCTTGCCAAGGAAGCTGATGCTGCTGCATCCTCAGCTTCCTCCAGCTCATCGTGTAGCTCCTGGCTAACACTAGACTGGAGGGCTGCAGGAGTTAGCCACTCCTTTGGCAGGCAGCTCTGGAGGAAGGGTATACAAGAGCTGAAGTAGGCAAGGCGATTCACCCATCGTGGAATCTCTTTCCCACAGAGAATCTATGGGGGAAGGAAAAAGAAAGGGTTAATTTGTTTTCTGGATTCAGCAGTAACAAAACTGCAGGACTGTAAATAAGAAGCAAAAGCTGCAGCAGGCTTACAGTTTACATATCACAAATGCCAATCAAGAAGCACCCAAGTCAGCTGCACTATGATGTTCTCCATCAGTAAAGGCAGCATTCCAAGTCCCACAAACACCTATATTCCATTGTGAAAGTTGGTTCTATGATTTTCTTAGAAGTCCTGAAAAGCCTAACCACCTCACTCTTTTCTAATAACTTCTATAAAAGGTACAAAAATTAGTTAAGCTATGGTTTCTATTCAGTGCTAATTCCTCAGAAACAGAAATTGCAGGAGAAACCCCACTATTACAAAAAAGCACTCTAAAATTAACTGGCCAGAAAGACAGCGTCAATACTAGAATTGTATGGAGTTACACACACAGCTGAGGCTCTTTACTGTGGTGGCCTCTGATGACTTCCACAGGATGTCACCATCCTACAAGAGAGGCCAAGCACACACTTTGGTTCACTGGAACAAGAGAAGCTACACAATGCACAGCTGGGTTCAACTCCTCAAAAATGTATGAAGTTGCATTAAGTAGTTATTTTTACTGCACATCAGTCATGAAATAATTTTATTGTCACTATTCAAGGAGTGAGCTACTTAACTACCTCCATATTCATTTCTGGTATTACAGTGCAAATCTGGAGAATATGAGCATCACTCTGCTGTAACTGAGCAGTATTTAACTTGCAATTATAGCCACTTTTATAGTCAATTTGAACACTAAATAGGACAAGATCTAAAACAGCAAAAAATATGACTATGCAGCTGAATAGTATGGCAAAGCCCTGGCCATATAGGCCAGATTTCACACCAACTGCAGCTTTGTCAGTGTCTCACCCTACTTACTTGTACCAGCATTGCACATGAATCATCATCTCAATAAAATTTTCCACTACCACTGGAAGATGAGTCTACATAAAACACAGGCCATACAGTAAGTATGCATTAACTGTTTTGGAAAAAACCCAAATAAAATCAGTGAAACTTCACATGAGAAAAACAGCCATCCTTGTTTTGGAGTGTTTGAATGAAACATTAGCACTAATTCTGTCAAGCAGAGATTGCCAACTATCAATGAAAATCAAAGTTTCCATTCCCCTCTTCGAGCTGGGTTACTTGTTCCTGACCCTTTCCCATGTGTGGATATACATGTGAATGATCAGACATTCAATCATATTGGCAAACTGATCACGTTACAACAAAGCTGAGGGGGAAAAAGCAAAGCCTGTTCCACTCCTCGGTCAGATACTCTGCATGAGCACTCAAGGATCCAGCTGACCAGGACACAGGTGCTGGCACAGCAATAACTTGACAAAAGCCTCTCAAGCAGAAGATTAACATTATCTCAATAACTTTAATGCCTTTGCTATTCTTTAACTTGATCATAACTTTGAAAATTATTTACAGTGTGATGGTTCTGTGAGGAAATACGAATAATCTGATAACAATAACAAGAAGTTCTATCTTCAGTAGCAATCCTTGAAACAACTAAAATTATTTCAAAATCTTAATACTTTATTTACTAGGCATCTCTTTAGGAATGCACCTCTGCTTTAACACAAGCTATGTATGACAACAATATTTAGCAGCAAAATCTGATACTTTGGACATAAGCACAAATACAACCTGAAAAATTTTATTTGCCCAAGGCAACAGAGATAGGAAGTGGAAAATTAAACCAAATGTTACAGAGGACTAGAAGGATATGATGCTCTGTAGCCACCTGTGAAGCACCTTTCCACAGACCTTTAAGTTTGTTTACCTCAGATAAAGCTGAAGAAAAGTGATTGCAGTTTTTGTGCATTAGGTGATAAGCATTTCCTTTGAATTCCTTTCCAAGCTCTTCTACTATTTTTTCTATATCATCTTCCATAAAGTCAGTACTGCCTAGAACCACAGCCTCTCTAGAAGAGAAACAGAGTAGAGGGTGATCAGGCTCCCATGATACAGGTGAACTACTGTTCATACATTGATCAAAAGTCACTCCATTGTGGGTAGAAAGATGTTTCTGTTCTCCAAGAATAACAAAGGTTCTTTCTATTCCATTTTATGGCACCACTTTCATCTTTATCACAAGAGATGATGTTTTCTTCCTGATTACCCACCTTGAAAAGTTACTGCACTGCTTATGCTGTATGAATAATAAAAGTTAGCTACAAGTCCACAAAATTTGTATGCATTTCAGGAATTTAATGGTATGCTAAAAAAAGAGCTCTTTGCTGTAGACACTTCATTGTCTCACCAGCTCTGTCCGTTTTCCATTTCTATGCAAAAACATTAATTTCTCAGAAAGTCAGAAATCCTTTACAATTCAATACATCTATCCTCAAAAATAAATGCAACAAATTGTCTTTTTCATATGCTTTCTCAAAGAGCAAGAAAATAGAAAATAATCTTTCTTACTTAAATTTAAATGTTTCTCCTAGCTCAGAAGCATTTCCTGGTGAAATCTCAAATATTCCAGAAAAAGGGTATGGATGACCACCATAGGCAAACTCTGAAAGAGAAAGCTCAGATTTAACAAAACCAGCATCTGATGACAGTAAAAAACAGCAGAGCTCACTGAATGGAAGGTGACTTCACAAGGATCTAAAGCTAGCAGCCAGACATGTTATTTACATGAGGAGCAAATGAAGTGAGCTGGAAGTTAATAGCTTTGTCAGTTATTACTCAGCCTAAGTAAAAACTAACAGGAACTTTCCTACCTCAGTGTACAGGTTTAACTGGAATAAATTTGCAGAAAGTACATATGGTTTTCATTGCATAAGTGAGCATTTACAAGTTAAATTGTACATCTTTATATATACTTGTCTTTAGAATTGCACTTACATACATCTAAATTGGGGATTCAGAGCACTGCATCCTCAGGGGTCTGATGGCACTTCTATTCAGTGTACACCACAGTCCTCAGTGTGGCAGTGTGCAGTGGCCTAATAGGTTCTTGAAATTTCTTGATTTGCAAGAGTTCAATTCTTTACAAGTTCACAAGTTCTTTATTATAACAAGAAAGTAAACCAGTGCATGCATCTCAAGGCTGCACATAGCATCTGCTGGCTTAAGCACTCACATGGAAGCATCATGGTGTGCTGCGGCTTCCGCCTGTGTCTGTGAGATAACAGAGCACGCCGCACCCAGAGTGTAATAAAAAGCTTTAAGCATGACTTCACACTTCCTTTCCTCAAAACTCCTAACACATCACCCAAGTCTAGCAGTCCGTTTTGTGGATGATCTTTTTTACAACAGGTTAATAAATAAAAGGTTTGATGTGCCTGGAAAAATGCAAGTCATTGTTCTAGCAGGGGCACGACCTGCTATATGAGAAAGCCACTATAATCCCAGCAGGAAGGGAGGCACATGTATTTGGCACAGCTCAAAAACTGGGTTTCAGGCACAGCACTATTAAGAGTCAGGTCTTTCTGGGTCAGATTAAAAAAAAAATTTAAAAAAAGTTTTAACAATAAGCATTGTATTTTGTCAATTTGTTTTTCTGGTAACACTTGCAAAATCAGATACAATGTGACCATTACAGTAGCTGAAACATAGTTTAAGATAATTTTGGGCAGTCCAGTCTTTGGAGTGCATGCCCTGACTTTTGCTCCTTCACCTCACCTCTCAAAACATTGGAAAAAAAAAAAAACAACACAGCAGTAGATTTTCCTTCTTTAACTGGACTACTTTCAGCAACACGATCAGTTTGGTGTGTGATTACACTTTGGGGAGCAACACCTCAGACCTGAGCCTGTGCTGAGGCGTGCACAGAAACACCTTCTGGCTGCAGTGCAGGCTCAAAGTGGCCTGAACAGACCAGGAGGCTGTAGCACCCAAGCACAACCTGTTTAGCAAAACTGAAAAGCATTGCTGTTATTTATCACAAGGGCATCTTTTATGAACAGCATGAATGGGATGCCTTTGAAAGAAACTGTCTCTAAAACAAACCAACCCACCAAAAGGGAACAGACCTTTTCCTGAGCATCACGCACTTTTAGGTGCCTCTCTGCAACAGATTATTGTTCCTGTAGTAAAAATTTAACTCCTTGCACTAAGTGCTGACAGAAAACTGAGGAACAGATTCAACCATGCTTTACACAAAGCACACGTTTGTTTTATGTAGGTTTTTAAAAGTATTTCCAAACCTAAAATAAAGATTTATATGCCTGGCTAAGTTGCACACTTTTTCATAGTTGCCCAGCTTTATACAAAAGAATGCTCAATGGCTACCAGGTTATTCATGTTCAAGGTTTTTTTCCAGAGGCAGAATAGATGAGAAGAGAGATGAACAGGTTTAAGGAGCTAGGCTCCCCTCACTACCTGAAGAATGCTTTTTGAATAACAGCATTACCGAAACAAAAAATAAGTTATGCTTTTCTTGTACATACCTCGGCCATACACCTCTATGCCTGAATGAAACACTCCAATTCCAAGGGAAGAAGTATATTCATTCATCCAATACTAAAAGGAAAAAAGGAAAAGAAAAACAAACCCAAAACTGTAGTTAGTTTGCAGTACAGATTTATCTTCTCAGAGCAGACTGTCCCCCACATCAAAAGCATTAAACCTTATCACAAAGTATTAAACCTTATCACACAGTGTAAACTACACAATTCATTTTACAGGAAGACAACATCACCAAAATTCCCCAACTGCATGCAGAGAATTAATTCCATTAGGTTCTATTCCAGTGTTTTAGTGCTGTCAAAGTTTGTCAGTCAAGGAGTCTGAACCTGGGAGAAATCCAGATGAACCTTCTATTTGTCAACAAGCTGTAGGCTGTTAAGTTTGCCATTAGGTGGAACACATTCTAGAATCAATTGCTGTAATTTTAAGGAGCACATTTTTCTTCAGGGTACATTGGAATGTAGGACTGTGAGATACACACACCGACTGTCATTAACAGTAATGACCACACCTGCTTATGAACAGATGAGCACAAGACATACTCAGAGATGGACTGAAATTACCTTATTATATTTTGTCTTTGAATACTCAATTAGAGGTCACTAGAGAAAGACACAAAGCTCTCCAGGCTGCTGATGCATGGGGCTCCAAACATGAGGTTTAAGTCCTTTGCATAGGTCTGACACTTGTTTCTAATACATCACTTGCATTGTACCCAACAGAAAACAGATGCATTTCAAAAGCAATCAGAGTGAAAATTTTTTAGAAAATGCAAAAAAATAGTAAAGAAAGGAAACTTCTCTTAGCGCTTTCTCTTTTCTTTTATGAAAGTGCAGCAGCAGCAAGTGTCTATCAGAAGCTAACTGTTACCCTCAAGACCTCAAAGATGCAGAATGCTGATAAGGGAAAACCTCAAAGTACTCTTTCACTGTCTGCATCACCACTCTCAAAGTATAAGTCTCCAAGCATCAAAAGATTTCAAGTGACACACAATTTGAGAAGGAACCTGAAACAAAGCCTTTAAAAAAAAGCCTCAGTTGTCCTTAAAACTGAAATTGGCTAGCAAGAAAAACCTTAGGAAAATACAAGAAAAACATTATTTTGTCAATTACTCCACTAACAGGATTTTTTCTTCCCAGAGCTTCTCTGCGAGCTTTTGCAAAGCAGACTTCAACAAGTCAACTGGCAGGCAGGATACAGGCTGAGGTAGTACCCCCAGTAAATTAATACTGGTTTAGCAAGCAGGAAGAAAAAAAGAAGCTATCTTCTTCACACAACCTGTTGACATAATCAGTGTTTTCTGATGCAAAGCTACTATGAAGCACAACCAATGATAAAAATATAAAAGGTTGCAGGTGTCACACTTGAAGATGTGTTGGCTGGAGTAAGTGTGTAATTTACAGCAGCATCACAAACATTACAGCGTGTAGGCTTTTTGTCTCCCAATAAAAATGACACACTAAACCTCAGGGTGACAGGCTATTAATAAAAACGAAAACAAGTTAAATGGCAAAAAGAGCACGCCACACCAACAGTCACAAACAGACAAACCAGCTGTGGGAAATTTTGTCAATATGAATTAAGAGAAGGCAGATTTTGCGCCTTATATTTATTTAAAGCTCAATCGTGATCACTGGATAAATTTTGCTTAATACTAAACTTTACTATTTGCTTTAATTTCTGGCTTTGTCAGTGTAGTGCTATGTTAGCTAGTGGGGTATGGATGACTACACTAAATCATCACCTTAGTCTATTTGAAGGGCTTAGCAATTCTTTCCTTCCACCCCCCAGAAAACAGCAGAGAGCAAGTCTGTATGAACAAGCTACATCCAGAAATACACTGCATTAATTTACTCTGTATAGAAAGACATATACTGGGAGAATACAAAGAGGGAAAGAGAGGCGAAGGATGTGAAGACTACTCATCTCAGTGGGTTTGTGAGCATAAAAAAATTGATTTTGCTCACAAGGTGAAATGAAAGTCCCCAGGAAAAACAGAAGAGCTACTGCAACATAAATGAGTTTCAGTTCTGAAGCCCTTCCTAACCCACGGTTTACCAGCTCACCATTTCAAAATAGTTTCAGGTTTATATTTATAGTCAAAACTGTAGGCACAGTCAATGTACAGTTTGTCATCACTGGAATAAAGTACATTTGCCTAATGGGATGGTGTATCCAAATGAACCTAACCTGGAACTGAGCTAGACAGGGTCTCTGGTGCTCTAGTCTGTCCCTCTCCTGGGCACTTGTGGCCAGAAACCTCTGAACCTGGCTGCTGAATTCCAAACAGCCTACATATCATGTTCCCATTGGGTCTGTTAATGCCAAGCAAGGTTATGGCTGCTCTCTGAAAATAGAACAAAACTTACACAAGATACCCCACATGCAGCAGGACAGAATAAAGCTGGTTATTAGATAGAAAAAATGAGGAAAGAAAGTATTCACAGTACTCCCCACCCACAACCCCATGAAACCAAACACAAAGTATAGGGAAGAGAGAGAAAAGTGAGCCACCAAGCCTTCTCATTGATCTGTACAGAAGGATGGATGGGATGGAAAGCTGATCCAACAAGGTACTCAGCACAGCCTGCCCCTATCCAAGCATGTGCTCCTCCATACTGGTGCCACCTAAACACTGGGAACTCACTACACTGCACAAAGTGAGCACTGGTGGCAAATAAAATCAAAGTTAGCAGCTTTGGAAGAAGTGCCAGAAGCAAGCTAGCACTTTGCTTCATATTTCCAGTAAGAACAGAATAGGTTAATTGAAGATAAAAGAATTTCAATGAGGCAGAATTACTTTCCCCCTAGGAAAGTAATTATATCTAATTATTACTTAATCTGGATGAGCTATTGGAAGGTTGGTTCCATTTACTCATTGAACAAAATGCCTTATCTTACTGAAGGAAGAAATGCAGGACAAATGCAACAAAGAGTACTGAATTTGGCTGCAGCTGAAAAGATTATATACAACTTACAAAATAAAGATTGTAAATTAAAATTACATCTGTATAGCTCACTGGTTCAGTGACATGCCCAAACTGATCCCAAATGCTACATCCTTGCTTCCATTACACAAACTGGATTCCCTTTAGTCTTGATATGGATTTTGCCATAGCAGTATGGTGCAATCTCACATCCTTAATATTTTGCAATATGTCAGTCTTGTAAAACAGGATTTTAGATTTAATCTATTATAAAGAAAATATTAGAGAAGTATTTTTCTATGTGCACAATAAAGTCATGTCACTGCAATGAAAGAAAAACACTAATCCCAGTGCTTCAAAAATATCTTCAGAGCTTTCATTTACATTAATACTTTAGCTTGTTATTGCCTTATTTGACAAGGGAAGAAATAGAATACTACTTGGGCACAAAAAAACTAGACTCCTAAAAATAGCAGTTAGTTAAAATGAAACTGTAAAGTACTCCAGCTCTCCAAACACAATGTATCAAAGCCTTCACCCTACCCTTTTAATGATCATAAAAGATGTTCAAAGGCATGAACTGTACCACGTAAATATGCCCTTAAGCTTCTCTCCCTCCATAAAGTTACCAGTACTTGAAAGTCTACTTTCTTCTACAACACACACATCCCCCTCACACTTTGGTTTTATCAAAGATTTTTGCTTTTTCAAGCACTAAGGACATTGGAAGGGTATACCCTCCAAAAGCAACCACCTCACTCCTGTAAGGAGTTCCAACTGCAGCAAGGTCACTTAGCACTCCCCTGCATACCTAAGCAGCTGCCTGGGAAATGGAAGCCACAGTTTGGGTTAAGATAATGCTGTTAGTTTATTACAAAGTTGGTTCTGTCAACCACGTGAATAACAATGTCTCTTGTTCCAAAAGAGAAACAAAAAAACCCAACCCCAAACCTAAACTACAAAACAGTCCCAAACCCATTTCCAAGTGACATGGAATGTCAGAAGCAAAGAGAAAACCTGCTAATGTCTCAAATACAGAGCTGGCATGCTTCAGTGAATAAACAGAACTTCAAAACTCCTATTGCAGAGGACTCCTCCCTTCTTCCACCCACTCCTAGTGTCCCCAAACAAAGCAGTACCATTGATTTCATCCCACTGTTGTACAAGCAGTAAAAACTGCTATGCAACATGAAGGTGAGGTTTTGGTCTCAAACAAGTTTCAAATGGACTAAGATGTGGTTTAGCAGAGGAGTTTGATGAAGGATGTACGCTGGTGGGATCTTCCAGACATCACACAAACCTGTGTTATTCTCATCAGTTTGAAGGAAAACTGCTTCTCTAACAGTCAAATAAAGTAGATATTTATACAAAACAACAAACAGGGCTGAAGCAGGAAATAGAAATATTCTCCTTAGTGGCTTCATCTTATACCGTGTATAATCTGTGGTGATGTGCAGCTTCAACCAACAAAGTCACCCCTACATGAAATCAAACATCTGCAAATAAATGTGCTTGGCTGCTTCTTTTGGAGAGCAAGTTCCTTCCACAGATGGTGGCTTCAGAAACTGTGAATTCTCGATGCAGGCAGAACCCCAGTAATAACAACAGGATAACCAACAGCCCCCTAATGTGTCCTTAGGAAAAACATGACACTAGCTTTTAGGAGCACCCCCTTCCTGTTGCTTTTTTTCCTCACTTCCCTCATGTCAACTGCCAGCCTTCCTAGGATGGCTGGAGTAAAACTGATCGCAGCAATTCAGGTCTGGAGGAAAACGGAAGGATGATGTGAATGAAAGAGTGGACTATCACAAGAGAAAAAGAAACAGCATGCTGAGGTCACACCCCACCAGTGCTACCACCATAGCGAGAATGGAGTTTCTTAGAGGCCATGGCAGGCATTTACACAGGAGTCAGTCCACTCAGTTAAGGTTTCACAGCCTGCCTGTGAACTGGAATCACTTAATGCACAATTAAGCAAGTCTTTATGAGAACAGTGGGTCTTCCATTTTGGTGAGTCAGAAGTGCGTCAAGCCTTGACTTCAAAGATATTCTTATGTAAGAGTCACAAAACTGAAGTCCTACTTCTTTCCCTGTACAAATATTTACAGTTAATATATGTAAAACCATCTTTTTTATGCTAAAAGAGATTCCCCAATATATATATTTGCACTGTAGTCCAGAGAAGTCATATATATGCATTTGACAGGGCAGCCTTCCCTCCTCAAGTCTAGTGTAAAGAAGGGACACTGTGACTTTTTCGCATATTAGTATCACATATGAGCCCAACCAGGTGAGCAAAGACCCTTTCATTTTTCCTCCCATCTGTCAGAAAATCACAGTGAACAGACTGTTCCTGTCTCCAGTCTCCCCTCCCTGTCTATAATGAAGGAAACCAAACTCCAGGTAACAGGCTATATTCAGTGGACAGAGAGCTCAAACACAGGAGTGGGCAAAAAAATCCCCCCAAAAAGGACATTGATTTCTAAGGTAAGTATTAGAATGAAAGAAAATAATGACAAAAATCGGGGTAGTTGCTATGATATTGTAAGTATATTTGATTTCAAGCCAGATAGATCCCTACTGATTGCTATTAAACATTTTAGCATTTGAATGTGACTGTTCCCAAGCAAAACAAGCTGTATTTTCTCACTTCCAGCAGTCACTGACACTACACTATATACCCTCACCCCTTCAAAACAGCGAAGGTTCACTTTAAAATGGTGGTGGTAGGAAAGCCTAGCCAAAATAAGCTAAGTAACACAACCACTGTCACCTGAAGCTAGTTCTCCATCTTACTGTCCCTGTATCAGTAGGCTTAAAACTTGGTCAGAGAAATACTGCCACTCGTTCTAATTTCCAGCGATTGAAACGCATTAATGGATAATATTTTCTTATTACTTATCCAAGCCTACTGCTCCATGCAGGTACTTACACCTCATTTGTTACCATGGCATTTGAGCAGCTTCCAGCTGAACAGAAGACAATACCACAGTCGCTGTAGGTGCCACATAAAGATTATCCAGGAGGGAGGGAAGGTGAGCTCATAGGGCTGGAAATCAAGCTGGAGTGATTCCTTTATTTCTACCAAGTCGCAGCCACAACAAAAGTATTCAAAAATTATGGTCTAGCAAAAAATTACCTTACTGACACTGTGCTAAAAAGCTCTTATCCTTGCAGAGACAGAGGTTATCCCGAACTACCATCCTCTTGGAACACAGGACCTTTTTCTGCTTTTCGTGAGCAGAAAGGCAGGGCCTCCCTGCTGCTGAGCTTGGGGCAGTGGCAGAGGGAGCAGCACAGCACAGGGACGCTCACGGCAGGGAAAGTTTCCCCAGCGACAGGGAGCGGATCCACCTGTCACTGGGAGACCCGACCCGACAAACTTCTGTCGCAGGTCACAGAGGGGCTGTGGAAATCGTCAGACCTCCCAAATCACCGCCCTCGCCCTCCCCTCGCCGGGTTCGCTGCTTCTCCCGCTCCGCCGCCCCCGGATCCAGCTCCCGCGGGGACAGGCACGGCAAGGGCAAGCAAAGTTTCCAGCCGCCCCGGCCCCCGCAGGGCAGGCCACTCCCCGCCACCGCCCTGCCGGGAGGGGGCCGAGACCCCCGCCCCATGCCGTGCCGGTGCCTCACCATGTCGTAGACGTTCAGGATCACCAGCTGGTTCGCCATCGCCGGCGGCCCGCGGGCGCCCCCCGCCCGCTCGGTCGCTCCCGCTGCGGCGGCGGCGCCGCTCAGGCCGGCGGCGGCCTGCCTGGCGCCAGGCCGGGCCGCGGGACGGCCGGGCAGCCCCGCCGACGGGCGCAAAATGGAGCCGCTCCAGCCCGCCCCCAGCGCCCGAGCCGAGCGGCACGGCCGCGACTACAGCTCCCGGCGCGCCGCGCGGGAATGCGGGCGGGAATGCGGGCGGGAATGCGGCTCCCGGCGTGCCCGGCGCTGCCCCGGCNNNNTGCCAGGGCTGTGGCTGCTCGCCGGGCCTCGTCCCTGCCGCCTCCGGGGCAGGTGTGCCCGGCGGCCGGACAGCGCTGCTGAGGCTCCCGCGGGGCTCTGGGACCGGCCTGGCACGGCTGCCCGGCTGTGCCCGCCTGCCCCGTGCCGTGCCCGCCACTCCTATCCCTAAGGTTGTTGGTTCCCAGAGGAGAATGAGTTAGTTCTCGGCCCGTGTGGTGGCTGCCTTCACAGCATCCCCCGGCACCGCCATTTCACCTTTGGGTTCGGTGAAGAACGGAAATTTTAAGTGGCTCAGTAGAGGGAAGGTGTGAGCCGTGCGGACTGGGGATAACCCACATGTGGGTGCTGGTGAAGGCATGGCCGCTTCTGAGGCAGCAGGCACCTTCCGAGAGTAACCCTGCCATGTCTAACCTTGTCAAGTGACAGCAAAACAAAAATCCATTTGTTAGAAGCTGGAGAGAAGCACGAGAGAAAAAAAAAAAAAAAAGCATTCTCTCTTCCAGCAGACTCAATTTTATAAAGACAAGCAGTGCCCCTTCATAGCGCTTTAAAAAAGATGCTCCTCACAGCAGGCTGTGGATGTGCCCTTGGGACAAAGGTGCTGCAGGAGGGAGGATGTTCCCACCCCAGCGGTATCCTGGCTTCCACTCTCATTTCTGGCTGCAGACATTTAGATGTTTAGCTCCTCTTTCTTAGCTAAAATTCCAGTTGGCTGCTGAGCTCCATTTTGTGTGCAGAACAGCTTTGCTCGAGTACTGATGGTGATGCAGGCAGTTAAAAAAGCAATTCCTGCTTTAGGGAGTGATCTTTGCTAGAGGAAACCAGTACTGTCACAAAAACTTAAACCACATCTGGCTCCTGATTGTCAGAATATGTAATTCAGGCACCTGCGGGACCTGTGTGTGAACCTGAGGTTGGCTGTAATGCCTTACTTTGCCAGTAAAATGTGTGGACAGGTCCATATGTCCATTGGGTCCATATGTCCAGTGTTCTTTGCTCCTTTGGCTAAAAGCTAGGGAAATTGTGGTTATTAAACCAAAACCTTTTGTGGGAAAAAGTTGCTTCCATGTTGAAGAATACTGAGGAAAATATTATTGTTTCTTAAATCTGCAGAGGTAAAAAACCTTACCTGAAAAGGGAGGGACTCCATTTCCAATTAACAGTATGCATTAACTGGAAGAAATAGAGTGTTGGAATGACTTGTTACAAATTGCTTAGTCTTCATGGTCTCTTGTTTGTTTTCTGTCTATAAGATGCATTGTAAAGCAGAAGGAGAGGAAAACATAACTCGTAGCCTGTACTGACAGGACAGAGAAATTTCATGTTCTGTGAAGAATAAATCCCAAGTGTCATTCATTTGACTTAAAAATTGAATTTTTCCATTTAAATGCTAGACTTTATAGGTAGAGGAGTAACACAATATTACAGCTCTGACTTCCTCAGTGATGCAGCTTATCTTTTCCTGCAGTTATCTGCAAAAGACAAGAAAATCCTTCTTTAGGAGGACTAAAAGACTGATTAGGTAGGTGTGAGAAGCAATGTTAAGCATGAGTGAATACTGCAGAAAGCTGTGCCATGTATGGTGTGTGTTACAGCGGTTTGCACTTATCTGAGTAGTTGGGAGAGTGAGGAGGTATGGTATGGGGACACTCAAAGATCTCACAGAGATCAGTCTGGCTGTTTGGTCAAGGGGCAGAGATAACTTGTGGGCACTGTCACCACAAAAGAAGCACAATGTGTGTACCCAGGGACTTCTGCACTGTAAAATTGAAAAAGATGGTGCCTGAGCCCTTAATAGGAACACGGAAAATCTCAAAGAACACAAACCAAAGTCATTGTTTACCAATCTTTGCTACATTTACTTTATGCAGTGACGTGTTTCTATTCTTGTCTTGGAGCAATACATTTAAAGAGCAGTCTGGTTTATTTGTCTTTATGGCAAATGCTGTTATCTGTTTCATTTTCAAAGGTGTAGAAATAGTCAAGATTAGAGAAGCACCAATTTTCAGCCATAAATGAGAATTTAGAGAAGCCCAAGGTGCCTTAGATCCACAGAGAGGTGCAGTTTCTGGAAATTTTCTTAAAAGATTATTAAAATATAGAAATCCGTCACAAAGAATACATGAGCATTCAAAGTCATCTGTTATTGATTGCTTTTTTCCCCCTTGGTCATCACAGCTGTTCAAAGACAGTGAAGGGTGGCCTTGCAATGGCACCTGCCAGGTCTCTCAGCAGTCACAAAGGAATCCTGTCTCATCCTGTAAATTGTGCATGTCCAGCTTATCTAAGGAGTCCCCTTTTGGATCCATTGATGCTGTAAGTAGTAATTCCACAAAATTAATAGTAATGGAGACCTAGAAAAACTGAAAACAGAATTTATCCATGAAGACTGAGGGAAGGAAGGAGGCACTAAGTACTTCAGTCTTCTCTTTATCCTTTTTAGTAGATCTCCAGCCTGACCATGCAGTGGGTTCACCTTTTCCATTTTCTTCCTTATGCTATTGATGCACCTACAAACCCATCTTTTGTTACCCTTCATGTTCCTTGCCAGTTTCAATTCCAGCCAAGCTTACATTTTGCCAGTTCTGTCCCTGCATGTCCTTGTTAGCTTGCCCTGCTTCCATCTCCTTTATAATTTGGTTTTGCATTTGAGCTCAATCATTATCTCATGTAAGGTATGTTGCTGGACCTGATTTTGAGTCATGCAGATCTGTTTATAGCTACAGTATATTAAAGTGCACTTCTATTTTAAACATCACACAGTCTAACAAGAAAAAAAGGTCAAAGGCTCAGCTTGTCTTCCCATTTGGACAGAGAACTCTCTTGCCTATGCCAGGGCCAGCAACACAAGACTTTTGTGGGTCAGCCAGGGAAGCTTCAGTGGCCTTGTGGCAGAAACCCTTCCAACAAAGAACACTGGAACATTGATTAATGGGTTCCTTTCTCATGATTCTTGCTGAATCAACATGGAAATGGAACTCAGGTAGAGTCTTCTGTGAGCCCTGACTTCTGTTTAAAAAGGATCAACAAGAAAATTACTTCAGTTCCTTGGCATCCTCTTATGCGCTGTCACTATGCCTTTTTATGGTACATAGAAATATTTATCAAGTCCTTTTATGAAAATATTCTTGGCAATACCCATGGTCTGGCTGCCTGCAGTGTGCACTGGTTGGGCTGGCAGTTGTGCCCCACTCTGCCAGACTGCTTCTTGTTCTTTGTCCGCAGTGCCTCATTTGCTGCTCTATGCACAGCAATCACCAGGCTGCCTTGTTAGGATCCACCTCTGTGTCACATGGAATGTATCAGCAGATAAGACTGAGTGCCCAGTAAGCCTGATAGCTTCATCTTGCAAGCCTTGTTCCAATGCATATTTATTGTGGCCTTGGAACTGGCTAATTTTGTCTGAGGGATTTTTTCCATATGGTCTTGCACTGTCTGAAAGGTTTTTGAATAGAACAGCAGCTCAAAATCATAGAGTAAGATCTGTCAAGTTTCATGAACAATTTTGTAGGACATGGCTGTGGTGATGTCCAGCACTGGTCCACTGAACATCATAGAGATGGACTGAGATGAACATCATAGAGATGGACTGAGATTGGTCTTTTGTACAGTCACCAGGTGACTCAAGTAGCCAAAAAACATACCATTGCCTGCTGAGTGAATGGCACCTGCTGATTTTCCTATAGTAGCCAAGTAAAGAAGAGCAACTACCATGGGAAAAGACTTGTGAGATTTCCTTAGGCTAGAATAATGAATAAAAGGACTTTTCTTAGTAACAGTTGTGTTCCACTTAGGAATTCCACGTATCTTCAGTATGATTCTGTGATTGTAATCCAAAAGTCAGTGCCTTACAATGACAAAACTGCAAAGTAGTCTCTTTTTGATGTACTGAAAAATTATCGTGCTATTTTAGTCACCTTCTCTTGGCAAAAATCAAAGTTATTATGCCATTAAACTTCTAGTCAAACAGAATCGGACAAAAAAGAATCTAATTATCTTCCTGTAAGAAATGCTAAGGCTGAAAAACAGAGTTTCCTTATTAAAATCATACTGATACAGATGCAGGTTTACAATATCTGAAGAATAAATAGCTTTAGTGTGCTAACTCTGTCTTCACGGTATGTCTGTTAATCTAAAAACAATAATAATTTTCAGTCTTAACAGACCAATAAAATAAATTTTTCTGGTGCTGTCATTTACAAAAGGGTAGCTTCAATGATCTCCTACCTGAAATTTCTATTACTTTGCCATTTAATTAAAAAAAAATAACTACTCTAAAATTTACTTTATTTACTTAACTGAGAGTAATCTGGTGAGAATAGTGATCCCATGAAGAATTCCTGATAGAGAAGATTTTGATCCAAATACTTGACAATGTCCATTACCAGTGCTGTTTTTGTAAATGTAGTAAATACATCATCTCAGAGCAGCCCAAATGATGTTGCATTTATGCATGTCATCCTCATAACAGATCTGCAAGGAACAGGCAAGTAAAAATTTTTTAAGTCCCAAAATTATCTGTCTTCATTATAAACTGGGAAAAAAAAATGTAGGAGCTGCAGCCACTGTAGATCAGCAATAACACAAATTTAGATGGGACTGAGTCATAGATAACAAGCTCTCTAGATAAAGAAGCAGCATTTTGGAAATTCAAGAACTTCATTCAGTTTTC